TCTATGTTTATGAACATTTTAGGTTTGCAAACAACTGGGAAGCAAAGACAATGATAACCTGTTTATCATCAACACTATGTAATCACAAATGCAAATGAATATTGAAGAAAGGCGTAAAACAACACTCACTCAAATCCAATGAATTTTCCAAATAAATAAAAAACATCAATGCTCACATGATCATTTTTGAATGAAATTTACAGGTCCTGAATCTGTGTTCAAAGCCACATCACTATAAAAAAACACAGTAGATTTATCTTCTTATGTCAGTCTAACATGGTATAGTCAGTGAGCGAGTTGGGTTTAACGCCGCTATTAACAGTATTCCAGCTTAATGTGGGAGGAAAGCCCCAAGTGATGCAGGTCTCAGACGTTTACCACTTCAGTGAAACCCATGAAGTATGGTGCTCATGGGATCGGGTGGTCAGGCTCACCGACTTCGTTGATGCATGTCATCGATCCCAATTGCGTGGATCGATGTTCATGATGTAAATCACTGGATTGTCTGGTCCAGACTCGATTTTTTACAGACCCCCGTCATATTGCTGGAATATTGCTGAGTGCGGCGTTAAACAAGAAACAAACAAACAAACAAATCTCATCGCCACCTTGCAGTGACGTGTTTATACACCAAGGGGATACATTTGATTTTTGCCTTTTTGGTTAATTTTCCCTCTTCAACTGGCCAGTTTTCGTTTCTACGGACATTTTTCAGTCCACACGCCATCCCGCATGTCTCGCATGTTGACGGGTTTTAGGACAGACAGAAGAAGAAATGCATAGTGTGAGATATGATACGTTTAAAAAATTAGAAATTTATCACCACAACCAAATTAAGTTTGAGTTGCTTGCATACAAGTACACATGAAACTAAAAAAACAAAGAATACCGGTAGTATAACAATAACGCATAATGACGCGAAGTATGCTTTTCATCTATATTTACTACATCTTCCCGAGGCAAGTGAGTTAAGTGGCTATAAAAGTCCAGTTTCCACCCTTGCCGAATGAGGCAGGTATTATGGAGTTACATTTTGGCTGGACTAACAAGTCTATACATAGTCCAATCAAAATCGTGCTCCGAAATTGAAATCTGGTTCGTATACTGCCATGCAGATTTCGGTCGATTGCAGGATTTGCAAAGCATGATCACCACAAACTTGTTGTCAACAGATATTTTCTAAATCTGTTCATGTTTTTAATCAAGGTGCTCACACGATTTGATGCACTTCGCGATGTAAGACCCGTTTTATCACAATCTATACATCTTGATTATCGATGAGAACGTCTTGACTGGGCGCTGTCGTTTTGTTTGAACCAAATGCAAGTGATACGAGAGGTGGAATCTGATTGGTCATAACACAGAAGGGACATAACTCGTAATAGCCACTGGTGGTGCTACGATCGAGCCCAGTTATTCCAGCCCAGTTCGGCAAGGGTGGAAACTGGACTTTTAAAGTCAGTTAACTCTCTTGCCTCGGGAAGATGTATTTACTATCGAATGTCGGTATCACCTTTTCGTTAACTTTACAGCCAAGGATGAAGCCATCATTTTTAAAAGGGGGGGGGTCCAAATATCAAAATCCACTCTCAGTCATACCCCCTGGACCCCCTCTGGATCTGCCTATCACAGCTACATTTCACTTTTTTCAACAAAGACATGTATCACTGTTCTGAGCTTACCGTATTCGACGTAATAAGCGCCCCTCTCTAATAAGCACCCACGGCTATATTGCTAATATATTGGCTAGTGAACAATCCCAATTAGCACCCCTTCCGATTGATCAATGTACAAAAGACTTATTTATTACGCACTCGTGTGTTACATGCACCCTTATTAAGGGCAATTAAATTCTGGAAAAATATATCTGTCGTATATAAACATTTCAGGCTGTCAGCATAAACCACAAAACTTATCTTTCAAATCTTTTTTTTTTTCACCAAAATAATATTCTAATAAGAGCCCCCTATTTCTAATTTTGAGAGCGCCCTGGGGACTTTTTGGGTCGAATACGGTATATTACATTTGGCCATGCAGAGAAGAAAATTAGAAGTATCACGAAACAGCATCGTAAGCGGATTCTTTTATTAAAATGTCTACTTATAGGTTTAAAAATACCCAGCCGGTCAGGTAGCCTTATGGTTAAAGCAGTCGCTCGTCACGCCGAAGACCCAGGTTCGATTCCCGACATGGGTACAATGTGTGAAGCCCATTTCTAGTGTCCCCGCTGTGATATTGCTGGAACATTGCTAAAAGCGGTGTAAAACCATACTCACTCACTTAAAATTACCCAATAGATTGGATTCAAGGGAGTTACGTGTTTATCCATAGAAAACAATCAAATACCCAATGAGAATGATAACACACAAGTAAATACTCAATGGCTTCAAAATTATCTGGAGTTCTGATATATAAAGAATCTCACCCGAGTGTCCTTTGATATCACTTTAATCAACAAGTGTTGATATATTTGATATCAAAAGACACACAGGTGAGATTTTATTCATCGTCTAAAATCATTCTTCTAACTTTTTCAGTTTGTAGACAGTAATAAGCAGTGTCTTAAGTGTAAAAAGTACTGCTAACAGCCTCAGTAGCAGAGCCGTTGGTGATGGCATTAATTGTGTAATAATTTCAGTATATGTACACGTATGATATATCAATGTTATAGGCTGCTCAGAATAAAAAAAAACATGGTACATGTGCCCTCTAAATGTTATGACGTCTAACATTTTAAACAGAAGTGCAACAGAATTTAAGTATGCAGGCTGGTGGGATTTAAACGTTAATACACAAACAACATTCACCAAAGGCACTTGTGTCTTAAATCCTCATATAATAAGAACACTGAAAATTGATTAAAAGTTCCAATAAAACCAAAATGAAAGCTACTTTTTACAAGCTTCCCTGAATGTAATTAATATTCCTCTGCCAAAATGGCATTCCTAATATGGTTGTCACGCAAGACAATATCTGCACACACAGCAATAACATAATGGGATATTAATTTTACCCAGTTGAGCTCAATATGTAACAAATACATGAATACATGTAGAAAAACAACTCAGATACAATAACATCACAACAGCAAAAAATATACTATAAAAATATTTTCCAACATTTGGAAAGCTCAGGTGGAAATCATTTTTTTTAATACTATTATTATTATTATGGACATTCAAGCAGAGCGACAGATAAGCAGCGTATTTGCGTAAAAAATATCCCCCCAAAATATTCAAAACCCTATTACTTTCAATTTACTTGCGTACAGAAACACATGCATTAAATGAAAAACTCAAATGTATAAAAACAGCACTCGTAAATATCCAATGAAGCTTTTTCAGCATGCGTACAAAGGTGCTTGTTTCCGAATAACAATTACAAGCTAATTTACTTCCCGAGTCAAGCACATCTATTTAGAAAAGTTATATACATCTAAAACATTATTTCATTTTTTTCAAAAATATTGGTAGCCCAATAACTCATTTAACATAGAAACCCGAAAGTAAAAACTCACTTGCTCAACATCAGGAGCGCTGTTCATGTTTTGGCCTTGTTTGTTAACTGTTCTACTTGTGTTTTCTAGGCTTAAATATCAGATCAAATAATAACGAAGACACTAATCATAAAAAAATCAATAAAATCAACAAAAAATGAACAGAATTATGCTGCTTATACATTATGAACACACACCATATTAAAAGTACTATAAGGCTGAAAGGACGTTAACAGTTAGGTCTCAGGCAAGTTCTTTAAAGACACTGGTGTCGGATCTAGCGTGTCTTATTTAAAGTCAAAACATAATCATAATCATAATTTATAGTGTCATCTTTTGACCTAAACCAGATCATGTAGTTGATCACCAGGAATCAAGATTATTTCCCAATTTTATCATCAGTGATTAATATTGCATTCAAAAGCTTCATGTTAATAAGGCACAGGAGATGCAGAAGTGAAAGGCACTGAAATTTGAAGGGAGACTAGACCACTCCAACTTCCATGCCGCATAAAATTCAGTGCTGAATATTCATGGGAGCCTTCTCAGACATATGGGTCATTTTTTACCACACATCCAAGTTGAAACTTGACCTATACTGCAAGCCAACATATACACAGTCTTATCTACTACACACGGCCTTGTCACATCAAGGTCAAGTGATGGTCAATTCCTAGGACTTAAAGGATATGCAGTTCACGATCACAATATGAGTTCCACAGCAACAATCTGGTCAAGTACTACCCAAGGAAAGGCTATCCTAAGAAACACCCAAAGAATAACAAACTTAGAGCAAACACCGAAGAGAGAACGCTCTTCTTAACAAACAAACAGACACTTTCTGAAAACACTAAACCAGTTATCACAGATTAAAGCCCTCCTGCAGTCAAGGTCAGCTCCAAAACTTGGCGCCTACCTAAAAGGTCAGACGCCTGCACAAAAACGGTTAAAGACCCTCACATCACAGCATACAGGAAAAAACGAACACTAAGTGACATTCTTATGATGAGACCATTACATACCCACAACCAAACAACAAACTAGCGGTCAAACTGTCATTGATGTAGATCACAACTGCCAAAAACAAGTCTGCAAAACAGCCCTCTAAGTTCAATTTTTGTTAAGGAGCCAAGCGGCTCTTAACATGAATATTCTAGGAGCCAAACCTAAGTTTTTAGGAGCCAATAGAGATCTCAAAACAGATATTGTTGCCAATTATGTTTACTTCTAGGTCGCCAAGTGGTAAGTAGTAGATAAATTTACCATATTCGACGTAATAAGTGCTCCCCTCTAATAAGCGCCCAAGGCGATATTTGCTAATATATTGGCTAGTGAACAATGCCAGTTAGCACCCTTTCCAATTGATCAATGAACACAAGACTTATTTATTCGTGTAAAATGCACACTCGTGTATTACATGCACCCTTAATTATGGGCAATTAAATTCTTGAAAATATATCTATCGTGTATAATACGCACAGATTTCAGGCTGTCACCATAAACCACAAAATTTACAATCTTTCAACTCTGTTTTTTATCTCACCGAAATTATATTCTAATAATAGGCCCCTATGTCTAATTTTGAGAGCGCCCTGGGAGCTTATTACATCGAATATGGTAGGTCACCAGTGAAAGATTTAAGTTGCATTTGGCCACCAAACTGGTCGCTACTCAGAGAGCTGCAAAATCTGTATGAATGTTAAAACTAGAAACACATTCAGGAGTCACACTTAGGCAAGACATACAAGTTCTACACACCTGTAGAAATGTAATCTACTTACCCCACTGTTTGAAATATGATAAACAATATGTAGGACAAACAAAACATCACTTCTACATCCGACTTAAAGAACACTTTGCCGATGTCAATCACCCAAGACAAACCTGTCGCTAGCTACTTCGATTCAGCAGGGCACTCTACCAGACACCTACAATACAAGCGCAGATCCATCGAACAGAATGGAACTTCAAGCCCAAAACAATCCACCCGCATGACTGGCGCTATCTAATCCTGGCACTATCTAATCCTGGCGCTATCTAATCCTGGCGCTATCTAATCCTGGCACTATCTAATCCTGGTGCTATCTAATCCTGGCGCTATCTAATCCTGGCACTATCTAATCCTGGTGCTATCTAATCCTGGTGCTATCTAATCCTGGCGCTATCTAATCCTGGCACTATCTAATCCTGGCGCTATCTAATCCTGGCGCTATCTAATCCTGGCACTATCTAATCCTGGTGCTATCTAATCCTGGCGTTCCTAAACCTGTTCTAACAGTAATATGATCTAAAACCTCTGATATAAAATAAATAACTATAATCATGGTAATTCTGCCTGATCTATTCAATTATTATCAATCTACAGTGGTGAAGAAATAACAATAATAATGCAGATATGAAATTAAAATTAAAATTAAAATTAAAAAAGATTAATTTAAAAGAATAATAAATGGATAAAAGATGTGTGTGAAAAAGAAATGCAATCAAACAATTGTTTTTTTTTACCTTTTAACATCTTTTAGGCAGGTTTGTCCCAAAGAAAAAGTCTAAGCTGATTATGATAAATAAATTTGACACACCTCCCAGTAAACCCCACTTTGTCCTCCACTGAAATAATAATAATCATCATGGGCATACAGTAATAATAAATATATATATATATCCATGTGTTATGAGTTTATCAGACACTTAAGAAACAATCATAGTTTTTGGCAAACTACAAGAACAACTGTAAAACATCTCACTCACTTATAAAAGACGACTTTATCTTAAAAACAGGCCATCATCTGAGTACTTACAAGATCTGTGTTATAGCACGACTAATCGCGATAAACATGGCCGTCTGAAAACGTATGATGTCCGAAAACGAATGATCCAATGATATATGAATATATCTTTATATGTAAATGTAATACTCAAAATACGTTAAAGAACACCGATTTGTTTCATATGACTATAGTTTATCTGTCACATGACAGATTAACTATAATCATGTAAAAAATCAGATGTTCTTTAACTTCTTTGGAGTTGTGTATACTAAGCTCAAACAGTACACAACAACACTAAACAACAACACTAAACAACAGCACTAGACAACAGCAGATCGTCAAGCAGACCCAAGGTATTTCATAAAATCAGACTTGTTTTCTATGGGAGTTCGAGTTGGTCGACCCAAGTTGCTCCGAGAGCCCACGGACAGTTTAATCTCCATCAGAACTGGCCCCTGGGTGTCCAACAGCTGCCTAGTACCTGTGACCAGTTCCTCTGCAGTCTCGGCTATCAGAGTCTGAAGAAGAGGTGAAACAACGATGTGGTCAAGGTGCAGCCATAAACTTAAAAGAGAAACTTTATGTGTGTTGAGATTAATATACACACATATATGGCTTGATTTGTTTGTTTGTTTGTTGTTTAACGCCGCACTCAGTAATATTCCAGCTATATGACAGAGGTCTGTAAATAATCGAGTCTGGACCAGACAATCCAGTGATTGACATCATGAGCATCGATCCACGCAATTGGGATACGATTAAATGCATCAACCAAGTCAGCGAGCCTGACCACCCGATCCCATTAGCCGCCTCTTACGACAAGCATAGTCACTTTATACTGCAAGCATGGATTGCTCAAGACCTATTCTAACCCAGATCTTAACAGGTCCATATGAAGTGCTAGCCAATAAACAGCCGTCATGTCAACTTCAAGTTATCTTCTTTTTTTTCACTTTAATGTGTCTGAGTTTAAAACATACTGTTTTATACATACTGAACGAAAAAAGTTATGGATCACAAACTATTACAAACCATACACATTTAAAGAAATAGTTTTGTTTTGTTTGTTTTGTTTGTTTGTTGTTTAACGCCTAAAGAAACAGTGCCTTCACCACCAAGTGAGAATGTCAGTCAGTAACCACCTTCCTATACCAACAGGCTAGAGCTACACCACCAAGGGAGAATGTCAGTCAGTAACCCACCTTCCTATACCCACAGGTTAGAGCTATACCACCAAGTGAGAATGTCAGTCAGTAACCCACCTTCCTATACCCACACACTAGAGCTATACCACCAAGTGAGAATGTCAGTCAGTAACCTACCTTCCTATACCCACAGGCTAGAGCTATACCACCAAGTGAGAATGTCAGTCAGTAACCTACCTTCCTATACCCACAGGTTAGAGCTATACCACCAAGAGAGAATGTCAGTCAGTAACCTACCTTCCTATACCCACAGGCTAGAGCTATACCACCAAGTGAGAATGTCAGTCAGTAACCTACCTTCCTATACCCACAGGCTAGAGCTATACCACCAAGTGAGAATGTCAGTCAGTAACCCACCTTCCTATACCCACAGGCTAGAGCCTTCACCACCAAGTGAGAATGTCAGTCAGTAACCCACCTTCCTATACCCACAGGTTAGAGCTATACCACCAAGTGAGAATGTCAGTCAGTAACCTACCTTCCTATACCCACAGGTTAGAGCTATACCACCAAGTGAGAATGTCAGTCAGTAACCCACCTTCCTATACCCACACACTAGAGCTATACCACCAAGTGAGAATGTCAGTCAGTAACCTACCTTCCTATACCCACAGGCTAGAGCTATACCACCAAGTGAGAATGTCAGTCAGTAACCTACCTTCCTATACCCACAGGTTAGAGCTATACCACCAAGTGAGAATGTCAGTCAGTAACCTACCTTCCTATACCCACAGGCTAGAGCTATACCACCAAGTGAGAATGTCAGTCAGTAACCTACCTTCCTATACCCACAGGCTAGAGCTATACCACCAAGTGAGAATGTCAGTCAGTAACCCACCTTCCTATACCCACAGGCTAGAGCCTTCACCACCAAGTGAGAATGTCAGTCAGTAAACTACCTTCCTATACCCACACACTAGAGCTAAACCACCAAGTGAGAATGTCAGTCAGTAACCACCTTCCTATACCCATAGGTTAGAGCTATACCACCAAGTGAGAATGTCACTCAGTTACCACCTTCCTATACCCACAGGCTAGAGCTATACCACCAAGTGAGAATGTCAGTCAGTAACCTACCTTCCTATACCCACAGGCTAGAGCTATACCACCAAGTGAGAATGTCAGTCAGTAACCACCTTCCTATACCTACAGGTAAGAGCTATACCACCAAGTGAGAATGTCAGTCAGTAACCACCTTCCTATACCCACAGGTTAGACCTATACCACCAAGTGAGAATGTCAGTCAGTAACCACCTTCCTATACCCACAGGTTAGACCTATACCACCAAGTGAGAATGTCAGTCAGTAACCCACCTTCCTATACCCACACGCTAGAGCTATACCACCAAGTGAGAATGTCAGTCAGTAACCACCTTCCTATACCAACAGGTTAGAGCTATACCACCAAGTGAGAATGTCAGTGAGTAACCCACCTTCCTATACCCACAGGTTTGAGCTATACCACCAAGTGAGAATGTCAGTCACTAACCCACCTTCCTATACCCACAGGTTAGAGCTATAACACCAAGTCAGAATGCCAGTAACCCACCTTCCTATACCCACACACTAGAGCTATACCACCAAGTGAGAATGCCAGTAACCCACCTTCCTATACCCAAACACTCGAGCTATACCACCAAGTCAGAATGTCACTCAGTAACCACCTTCCTATACCCACAGGTTAGACCTATACCACCAAGTGAGAATGTCAGTCAGTAACTCACCTTCCTATACCCACAGGTTAGAGCTATACCACCAAGTGAGAATGTCACTCAGAAACCACCTTCCTATACCCACAGGTTAGAGCAATACCACGAATAGAGAATGTCAGTCAGTAACCTACCTTCCTATACCCACAGGCTAGAGCTATACCACCAAGTGAGAACGTCACTCAGTAACCACCTTCCTATACAAACAGGCTAGAGCTATACCACCAAGTGAGAATGTCACTCAGTAACCCACCTTCCTATACCCACAGGTTAGAGCTATACCACCAAGTGAGAATGTCAGTCAGTAACCCACCTTCCTATACCCACACGCTAGAGCTATACAGTGATCGCTCGCTATTGCGCTCTTCGATAAAGCGCTACTTCGGTTATTACGCGCGGTAACGCATGGCTCCCAAAATTCATGTACACTTTTAATACTGAGAGTTTTACACAGACATGATTGTATTGTTGTTCGTTGTTTATTTGCACATAACGCTTCTCATTGCATAATCAACGGTTTATCGCTGAATGGAGTTCTAATAATCTGTTTGAAAACATCCGCGGCAAGTCCCGGAAATACGATTGTTCAACTAGTTAACTTTTCACACTATACATCCTTTGATCTTAGAAGCGCATGCATGCAATAAAAGAGAACCACAAGTGAAGTTTATATTCTTAATTAGTGGGCAATCCAATTTAAGGCTAAACTGTCACACAAATGTAGTTGCTGTCACAACACGGCGGTCATTCATTTCGTAATCGCGCTTTCGTAACATCGCCTGTTTTTTCCCCGTAGTTATAACAAGCGATTTCATTGGATTAAAATTTGTTTCTAATGACACTTTCTTGCCGAAATCTGCTACAAGTTTCGTGATTGGTCAATTTTGAGCACGTGACCTCAGGCAGCCAATCAAGCTTTGATACAAAGCTCGTGTTTGATAAATTTCAGAAGTTAGCGAAAGATTTTTTGTTAAATCGTGTTATTCTGAACGTTTTAAGCAGGAAATCACGATATATATTAAAAATATGGAACTTCGCGAATGTATCGTGCTAGGTTACGAGCTGTGACAAAGATTTTTCATGCATATATTTTTGCATTAAACGTTGTGTCCGAGCCGAGAATTCAAGGCGACGAAAGCCGAGATGTCATTTGACTTACATTACACGCGATCGCACGAAACGATGGAAATAATAACTTAGATGTAAGTTTGATTACTTTTAGATATATTTTTGTTGATTTTATTTATCACTTTGTATAATATATTTAAAGATTTGCTTAAAATAGTCTTTATTTTGCTCTTTGACATGTTCGATGCGGACCCGTTGTCGAAATGTGTGTCCGAGAATTTTATTTTCAATAACATCGCGGGAAATAGTGAATAATTTTTTAATTTATTGATAAAAAATGATAAATTAGAATGGAATACGTATTTCATACATTGTGAAATATGACAGATTTAATAAATGAATGATATTACAGGTAGATCTAGGTCCATAAAAATATATACTATTTTGACGTGACGTGAGATAAACACATAGGCCTATTAATGATTTGAGATTTGCCGAGCGCGCTCCCCAGCCTCGGCCTCGGTTAAACGGCTCATCGTCTATAACGCCCACCAATTATTTGGACCCCATTGGTAGCGCAATAGCGAGCGATCACTGTACCACCAAGGGAGAATGTCAGTCAGTAACCCACCTTCCTATACCCACAGGTTAGAGCTATACCACCAAGTGAGAATGTCAGACAGTAACCTTTTTCCTGGACCCACAGGTTAGAGCTAAACCACCAAGTCAGAATGTTAGTAACCTACCTTCCTGTACCCACAGGTTAGAGCTATACCACCAAGTGAGAATGTTAGTCAGTATCCCACTTTCCTATACCCACAGATTAGAGCTATACCACCAAGTGAGAATGTCAGTCAGAAACCCACCTTCCTATACCCAGAGGTTAGAGCAATACCACCAAGTGAGAATGTCAGTCAGTAACCACCTTCCTATACCCACAGGTTAGAGCTATACCACCAAATCAGAATGTCACTCAGTAACCCACCTTCCTATACCCACACGCTAGAGCTATACCACCAAGTGAGAATGTCAGTCAGTAACCCACCTTCCTATACCCACACACTAGAGCTATACCACCAAGTGAGAATGTCAGTCAGTATCTCACTTTCCTATACCAACAGGCTAGAGCTATACCACCAAGTGAGAATGTCAGTCAGTAACCCACCTTCCTATACCCACAGACTAGAGCTATACCACCAAGTCAGAATGTCAGTCAGTAACCCACCTTCCTGTACCCACAGGTTAGAGCTATACCACCAAGAGAGAATGTCAGTCAGTAACCTACCTTCCTATACCCACACACTAGAGCTATACCACCAAGTGAGAATGTTAGTAACCCACCTTCCTATACCCACAGGCTAGAGCTATACCACCAAGAGAGAATGTCAGTCAGTAACCTACCTTCCTATACCCACAGGTTAGAGCTAAACCACCAAGTGAGAATGTCAGTCAGTAACCACCTTCCTATACCCACACACTAGAGCTATACCACCAAGTGAGAATGTTAGTAACCCACCTTCCTATACCCACAGGCTAGAGCTATACCACCAAGTGAGAATGTCACTCAGTAACCACCTTCCTATACCCACAGGCTAGAGCTATACCACCAAGTGAGAATGTCACTCAGTAACCACCTTCCTATACCCACACACTAGAGCTATACCACCAAGTGAGAATGTTAGTAACCCACCTTCCTATATCCACAGGCTAGAGCTATACCACCAAGTGAGAATGTTAGTAACCCACCTTCCTATACCCACAGGCTAGAGCTATACCACCAAGTGATAATGTTAGTAACCCACCTTCCTATACCCACAGGCTAGAGCTATACCACCAAGTGAGAATGTTAGTAACCCACCTTCCTTTACCCACAGGCTAGAGCTATACCACCAAGTGAGAATGTTAGTAACCCACCTTCCTATACCCACAGGCTAGAGCTATACCACCAAGTGAGAATGTTAGTAACCCACCTTCCTATACCCACAGGCTAGAGCTATACCACCAAGTGAGAATGTTAGTAACCCACCTTCCTATACCCACAGGCTAGAGCTATACCACCAAGTGAGAATGTTAGTAACCCACCTTCCTATACCCACAGGCTAGAGCTATACCACCAAGTGAGAACGTCTCATGATGGCTAGCTTCTGTAGGTTGGCCTCCGACAGAGTCATGACATCCATTGTTGAAGATAATATGTTTGAAGTTTGAGGGCGCCCTTTGACCTACAGTTGCCATGGCACAAAGATGCATAAGAGCTGCGCCGTCACCATCTAGACACACAACCTTTAATGAAAGCAGGAAAGAATGTGTAAGTGAAACATTTTATACAACATCACAATTCTTTCTTGTTTGTTTGTTGTTTAATGCCACACTAATTTTTCAATATTTCAGCTACATGACGGCGGTTTGAAAATAAATTAAGTAAATCAAGTGATTGACATCATGCAGTGTCCAACCCTGAATTGAAAATCAAGGGGGGACTTGTCCCCCCATCATGTAGAAAATAGGAGGGATTTTGAAAAAGTAGGGGGGATAATTACTTTCTTTAAAAATGTCTTATTTTGTATTATGTACTGGAACATCATCATATAAAAGTGTAACAGATCAGAATAAAGAACTGAAATGAATAACAATGCTTTGTGCTTTTTTCTATTTTGATTAAAAAAGTCTGTAATTCTTTTGTTTTTGCGCGAGATGGTCATTCACTATTCAAAAGATTGTCTGCTATGACAGTCGGCGATTCATATTGTGTGATTTCAGAAACGAAACTAAAATGAAGTAAAATGCTCAAAAATATTTTCAGAACTATTCAAGACAACAAAATACAACAAAATTTTGATCAAAGTTTTGATACGTTTTCTACTAAAGTAAATCAAATTTCGTTTCCTATGCCAATCCTGGCGATAATTTATTCAGCAACCCAAGGGACGTCACTCGTGTTCGAACTTCCGGTTGATATATCGATCAGTCTTCGACAGTTGTTTACAGTGTTTGCTGTGAACTGTCTTTCTTCTTTAATTGATTAAAGATTTAGTGAGTATTGAATCTAAAGGTAGGGATAAACAGCTGATGAAGTAAGTTACTGTACAAGAAATTACTGTGCGCGACAGATCGCGCTTTGATTTTTTTATGAGGGGCGATTTGATTATTTTTAGCGTGAATCGCGCCTTGGTTGGACACTGGTCATGAGCATCAATCCACACCATTGGGAACAAAGGGGAATATTTTACTGACTGCTAAGTGTTTGTCTATCTGACACGGAAGTATTTTTGTTTAACGCCACACTCAGCAATATTCCAGCTATATGACGGCGGTCTGTAAATAATCGAGTCTGGACGAGACAATCCAATGATTGACATCATGAGCATCGATCCATGCAGTTGGGATCGATGAGATGCATCAACCAAGTCAGCGAGTCTGACCACCCGATCCCGTTAGTCGCCTCTGATGACAAGCATAGTCGCCTTTTATGGCAAGCACCTATTCTACCCCGAATCGTCATGGGCCGTGACTCAGAAGTTTTTCATTGAGTGTTTTACAGATAGGGGACTTACGGACTTACTGATGCTGACAGCTCATTCAAGCAATGTACCTACCTTCCTGTCCAGCTGGTGTTTAGCGATACCCAGTGCTATAGAAGACGCATGACCCATTGACCCCACAGTGAGGAACTCCTTCTCATGACCTTCACCTTTGGATTCTCTGAGAAGAAACATTGAACAAAATTGTTTGCATCAGAAAAGTGACCTAAATCAAGCACACTGTTATCAGTGGTTGATAGCATGAGACAACCAAAGTCTTCAGGGTTCAACGACCCGCTCTGTCAGTACAGTATTATATTATCCACATGTTCAAGACAATTTGTGTTTAATGCCACACTCAGCAATATTCCAGCTATATGGCGGCAGTCTATAAATAATCGAGTCTGGACCTGAGAGTCCAGTGATAGATATCATAAGCATGGATCCACACTATTGGGATGTATCAATGACATGTATCAACCAAGTCAGCAAGCCTGACCACCCGATCCTGTTAGTCGCATCTTACGACAAGCATCGTTATCTTTTACGACAAGTATGGGTTGCTGATGACCTATTCTACCCCGGATCCTCATGGGTGTAAAGACAATCTGTACTTCATGCACTCTCCAGCTTTATAAAGCAACAACTCTGGATGACGTGATGTTTGTTGAAATATGCCGGCCATGTGACAGCAGCCTGTAGATAATCGAGTCTGGACCAGACAATCCAGTGATTGACATCATCAGCCCCGATCCCCACAATCAGGGTACAATGACACGCATTAAACCAAATCACAGATCCTGACAACCGAATCCATTCAGGTCACATCTTCCCGAGGCAAGGGAGTTAACTGACTATAAAAGTCCAGTTTCCACCCTTGCCAAACTCGGCTGGAATTTCTGGTGTCCATCACAGCGCCACCAGTGGTTATTACAAGTTCTATGCCTCTCGTATTGACCAATCAGATTCCACCTCTTGTATCACTTACATTTGCTTCAAACAAAATGGCAACGCCCAGTCAAGACAATCTGATCAATAATCAATATCCATATTGTGATAAATCGTGTCTTACATCACGAAGTGCATCAAATCATGTGAGCACCTTGATTAACATCATGAAAAGATTTGGAAAATATCTGTTGACCCTGAGTTGGCAGTTTACGAACCTAACTTCGATTTTGTTATACCATTTCGAATGGACTATGCACAGACTTGTGAGTCCAGCCAAAATATAACTCCATAAGACCAGGCTAGTTCGGCAAGGGTGGAAACTGGACTTTCAAAGGCAGGTAACTCCCTTGACTCAGGAAGATGTTCAGGTCACTGTTTATGACCAGCATAGGTTGCTGTGGACCAAGTTTAACCTGAACACCACGGCAGGTGGTCATGTTTAACAATGTCAAAACAGTAATGACATCAAAGCATATCATTGTTGGCATCACCATCCTTTCAGCAATGAACTTGCATCAATAGAAGTCTCCATCAGTGCAGCTCATCATGAAGTGTGGATAAGAAAAAGATTATTACAATCTGATCAAAATCCATGCGTTTTGGCACTTGACTTGCAAAATCAGTGGCACCAAGACCAGTGTAAGAATCTGTTAACAACACCTGTATTCAAACAGTTCCCTAGACAGCTTCCCTGTGGTCGCAACGATGATGTCTGACTCTTCTAGTGCATCTACAACAGTCTTCAAAGCCTCTTCTCTCAGTAGGGGGAAGCTGAAACATCAAAACATAACATAACAGATGGGAAGACGTGGATTACTTTCAGTGTAACGGAAGGGCAGAGGTAGCTTATACTGTGACTGTAACTGAAGGTAAGAAATCAACTAGTAGGTAGTTAACAGGGGTAGCTTACTTTGCCTGTAATTGAGGTAGCTTACTTCGCCTGTAATTGAGGTAGCTTACTTCGCCTGTAATTGAGGTAGCTTACTTTGCCTGTAACGGAGGTAGCTTACTTTGCCTGTAACGGAGGTAGCTTACTTTACCTGAAACGGAGGTAGCTTACTTTGCCTGTAACGGAGGTAGTATATTTTTCCTGTAACGGAGGTAGCTTACTTTGCCTGTAACGGAGGTAGCTTACTTTGCCTGTAACGGACGTAGCTTACTTTGCCTGTAACGGAGGTAGCTTACTTTGCCTGTAACGGAGATAGCTTACTTTGCCTGTAACGGAGGTTGCTTGTACTCTGAAAATGTAGATGCTTCCACCAGAATACTGAAAGGGGACTTCTTTGTCTTGAAATGTTGGTCAGCTTCTTGTACAACCTGAAAATAAACATTATTAGTAGAAGCGTTGCATCTTAAAATTTAGCAAAGAGGAATTACTTACATACAAAGAAAGTTTTAGATATATCTTTTACAATGCAAGGTCAGATTCCCATGGTTTTAATATATTTTCTATCTTTTAGGGAAAACAAGTAACAAAATGAGGCACATAAATATTACCATAACATGTCTGAAAAGGTTAAGTCAACAGAAATCAGACAAGATTTTGTGACAAGAATCAGTGAACATGTTCTATGTAACTCATCTACTGTTTGCAGTGCTCCATGGCAACATGTGATGCATCAGTAATGCTCTCCATAAGGAACAAAACAGAACTGTAAGGAGCTTCTTGGAGAACATGAAACAATGTTTGTTTGTTTGTTGTTTAACCCCCCCCACCCCCTCAGCAACATTTCAGCTGTATGACGGCAGTCTATAAATAATCCAGTGATTGGCATCATGAGCACCGATCTACGCACTTGGGATACGATGACATGCGTCAACCAAGTCAGCGAGCCTGATCAACCGATCCCATTAGTCACCTCTTAAGAAAGCATGGGTCGCAGAAGACCTATTCTAACCTGGACCTTCAAGCTTCACTTAAAACAGGATCATTTTGGTCATGTTAATGAATGAGTGAGTGATTTTATTACTACTATTAGCAATATTCCAGCAATATCATATGCACAACGGGGAACAGAACACATGGGATACATGAGAATGGGTTGATGGGTTAACATTACTTATAAACCCCCAATGACGTCATCCTATCGTCAGGGATGAGAATGGATATTTTCCTTTCCAGCTGAAACTTCTTTGCAATGGTGAGGTGAGTTGAAATTGGGTTTAACGTCGCGTCCAAGATTATTGCACTTATATAGCGACGTGCATGCACGTTTGTGTGTGTGTGGCTGCTTGTACTAGTCCGGACTGATGCCGATTTATAGTGCTAGCTCACTGAGATACCATGCTGCAGTTTAACATGAATACCCCACTCAGACACAGTATACTGACTCCGAGCCGACCAGTCCTTGTTTTAGCCCCTTAATGTCGAGCGCCAGACAGGGTAACAACAAGTACCATCTTTTAACGTCTTTTGGTATGATGCGGCCGGGGATCGAACCCCGGACCTTCCGCTCTCCGGGCGGACGCTCTACCACAAGACCACGGAGGCGGCTTCTTTGCAATGGAGTGTGGTCTATAATTTGGAGGTGTTTATGGGGGAAGCCATCAGATTTTAACAAATTTGTACTCACTAAAATTTGCAGAAATTTGCAGATCCGCGGAAGATTCTCACCCCTGTAATTTTCTCCAGTCGGGTTAAATCTTACAAACAGGGATATTATAATATCCCCGGGATATTTGCTACATAATGTTACAATATCACCGGGATTTTATATAATATCCCAGGATTTTAAATAATATCCTGGAGATTTTATTAATACAACTTCCGTTACATTGTAACATATTCATGTTTATCAATAGAAATTGAATTTGCATTGCATCACAATGTAATGGAATTTAAAATTAAATGACAAATGTTTTCTTTGTAATCACAAGGAAAACATTTGTCATTGGATTTTACATTTCATCACATTGTGTTTAATCATAAGGGACCCGTGAAGATCAGGTGTAGAATAGGTCTTCAGGAACCCATACTTGCCGTAAAAGGCAACAAAGCTTGTCGTAAGAGACGACTAACGGGATCGGGTGGTCAGGCTCGCTGACTTGGTTGAAGCATGTCATTGATCCCAATTGCGTGGATCGATGCTCATGATATCAATCACTGAATTGTCTGGTCCAGACTCGGTTATTTACAGGCAGCCGTCCTATAGCTGGAATGTTGCTGAGTGTGGCGTTAAACAACAAACCAAACAACCAACTTGAATTTTACGATAAAACATTGTTATCATGACGTCATTTCTGAAGACTTGAACATGGGCTCGCAACAGGTGACGTCATAAACAGAAAGCTTAATACAAGGAATACGATAGTTTAACAAACGATACATTTGGTCCTCTAGTTGAATAGATACCATTTTGGCAGCTGTTTCATCCCTCGGCAATATTCTACACGGAATGTCCATCAATTCTGTAACAAAAATGACAAAAAATCAATGAGTAAGTGGGTGACATATGTTGTTTCAAAGGTATTATGTTATGACTGACAGTATTTTCTCTATGAACTCGGGGTGACAGTTGGGATAACTATTGATATTGAAAGAAACTATTGTGATAAATATCGATAGTTTTCAGTGCATCATTTTACATGGATTTTAGAGTTGAATTAAACCTTGGAACTGAAGTTTCCTTTGAATGAGATAACCATCATAACAAATAAAAAGTAAAGTTTGAGATATGACTGATTTGTTTTTTTCTTTACCCTAATAATTTAAGAAAAAGAAACTTCCACATTAGCCTGTGTAAATTACTACCACTCATGATCAAAAGAAAAACAAATTTGAACAGCATTGCATGTATTTTGTTGATATGGTAAATACAATCGAAACTATCGATATTCCTAACTGAAATCGATACTATTGATCGGAAACTGATTTAACAATCGATTTATTGACTTTAAGTGCTTACCAATAGCAATATATCAATATTTTGATTTATTGTGACACCCCTACATTGAACCTAACTGTCAACCTGTCACTGGTTTCATAAAGCAGAGACACAATACTGTCACGCCAAACATAATTTCAATTTTTTACGGTTAGGGTAACTCACTGAGCATATCTGGAGTTATCTGCCCTTGAGCAAAGTGCTGAGGTTCGTCCTTGACCCCTGGCTGCCCTCGCCATCCAATCAGAAGGAGCAGTGGAATACTGTAAACTTTTGGAGATGTCAGTGACATCAAGGGGTTCACAGTATTGCCCAGACCTGAGTTCTACAAGAAACAAAATATTATTACCTTATTATTTTCAATTATGCCTAAGAATAATATTGTTCTGAAAAGAAAATACTGTTCCATTTCCAGGGACGTATCTTGGATTCCAAACGTAGTGCTTTTCCAGGCAAATTGGGAAAAATCATTATTTAGTTCCAAGTTGGGATTTTTTTAATATTTCTTTTTTTCCTTTATTTGAATTTAAACAATGCATTTACTACAATAATTTTAAACTAAGCATGGAAGCTTTACCTCTACTTGTCTTGTTATCAGAGAAATAAATAACATTACATAAAAGAAAGACATTATATGATAATTATCCATATGTATTTCCATATCATAAATATCAAATATTAGGAATAAAACATATGTATATTGCTTGCCAAAGGCTTGCATAATACAATTTTATATCAATATAATGCCACTTACTCAACAAAAGAAAGGTGAATACTAAACATGTTGGTTCATATATGAAGAATTACTAAAGTTCAACAATTGTTTGTTTATTTGTTTGTTTGTTTGTTTGTTTGTTGCTTAACGCCGCACTCAGCAATATTCCAGCTATATGAAACCAGTCTGTAAATAATCAAGTCTGGACCAGACAATCCAGTGATTGATAACATGAGCATCGATGGGATACAACACAGTTGGGATACGATGACATGTATCAACCAAGTCAGCAAACCTGACCACCCAATCCCATTAGTTGCCTCTTACGACAAGCATGGGTTTCTGACGAGCAATTCCAACCCAGATCTTCACAGGTCAGCAATGAAAATTCAAACACATCAAACAGAGTGGGCTTATCTTCAAACTCCACTTAAGTAGATATATTTTAATTCATTGATGGTATGACATATAACATATATATGACCAACTGGATTTCAAAATGACATTCACTGAACAATCTGTAGTCGATGCAGTACCCCAAAATGAAAGTAGCACACAGAATTAATACCCTGGATCAGCCATAATAAATATGACAATTGGTTTTAGTCATATCATTCATTAATATTTATGTTGCATAATTAACAAGCATGAAATACTCTTGTCCCCTGTCAATACCGCCATTTTCAGTCTAAGTCAAAAAGTCATTGCCATGAAAACTCGAAAAATAATTTGTTCTAAAATTTCAAACCATGAAAAGGCACCGGTTCACCACCAGGACCTATCCTTGTCCAAGTTTGGTTGAGATATCTCTCATGGTTTTTAAGCTCCGGAAATGAGTGAGTGAATAAGGTTTTACGCCGCTTTATCTATATTCCAGCAATATCACGGCGGGGGACACCAGAAATGGGCTTCACACATTGTACCCATGGCGTGACGAGCGAACTCATTAACCACTAGGCTACCTGACTGCCCCTCTGGAAATGAAACGTGACGGACGGATGAAGGACGGACAGACAGCACCCATTTCCATATCCCCCTTCTACTTCACGGAGGGGGATAATAATGGAATAACAGGACTAGAATTGTTTGAGGACAACAGAATACACAAGAACCATCGCTGTATGTTTGTTTTCGACATGTATCAATCTCACTTATAGCGTTTCAGAGTCATGGATCTTTGGGACATGGTATTTTTTTTCAAGTCAAAGATGGCAACTTGAATTGTCACAAACATCGAACATTGTATTGTCAATCAGGAAGTATGTATCCACTCTACCCACCTGTAGGTAAACCATCCCCGGGTGCCCAGTAGCTAAATGATAGCCAGCAGCCAAACCTACTGCGTTGCCCTCGTTAGCTGCGATCACATGATCTGTTTCTGGTACATTGACCTGAACATAAGCACAGTAGTCTGAAAGAGAACAAACAATAGGGGTAGATGCATGGGTGATCAGAGCAAGGATGGGTGATCAGGCGAGGTGAGGGGAAATGGGGTTTAACGTCGCGTCTCATGGGTGATCAGAGTAAGGATGGTGATCAGAGTAAGGATGGTGATCAGAGCAAGGATGGGTGATCAGAGTAAGGATGGTGATCAGAGCAAGGATGGGTGATCAGAGTAAGGATGGGTGATCAGAGCAAGGATGGGTGATCAGAGTAAGGATGGGTGATCAGAGCAAGGATTGGTATTCAGAGAAAGGACGGTGGTCTGAGTAAGGACGGTGGTAAGAGTAAAGGACGGTGATCAGAGTAAGGAACGGTGATCAGAGTAAGGACGAAGATCAGAGTTAAGAAGGTAGCCTTCCTCTTGTGGCATAAAAACCTGACGCTGGCGCATAAAACCATATATATACTCCTCAAGATACTGCTACCACGTAACATACTACCACAACATGACAATTTTTTCCTTTTAATTTGGAATTGTTATTGACATTTGCTTAGAAAACTTGGGGCCGAATATTGGCCTCTGAGCAAATCTTCATAAATCTATGTAATATGACCTTCAGATAAGAAAACATATGTCAGCATCTGAGGTATTTTTAACATATTATCATATTCCAATAAGTTGTACGACAGCACAATCAACTTCTTGTTCCAGCCTCAGGCTCTAAACAACATCCTTACTATTAATTATTTATTGTCAAACATTTGGCTGTGCAGCTTGGGCAATATTTCAACAATTACTTTGTAACTTTGCTACTCTTACAAAAACACATCCAAAGTAGGGCTGCAACGAATACACTATGAGGCGAATACAATTTGTATCATGAATATAGGGTAACGAATATGAATATTTATTCACGAATACAATAGGAGGTCAGCAGTTGATGTATTATTTATGATATTCAGTGAAACAATAACAAAATACATTATTTGAGATGGTTTGTTAATTATTAATTTATTACACATTTATATACTTTGCTTATCCAGATAGTAGTATCTGTTAAAATGCGACAATGACCAGTGACTACAATACTGTCAAATTATATATAAAAGAGTGTTGTCTTTGAAGAAATCTACACAGATATAATATGTTCTTATGGATATTGGTCAGGGTATGTAAATGCACATGACTGTATATTCATTAATATTCGATTCAAGTGACCACAAATAACGAATTTAATTCATGACTGGATACGGTTTGATTCACCGAATACGCAAGTGACTCTTAACAGCCCTAATCCAAAGTACCAGTAATGAAAAGGTGAAAGAAAGGTGAAACTGCCACATGGAAATAAAAACTAACCACACTGTCATCACAGAACTTACCACTGAGCAAGGAGTCGGGGACCCCAGTGAAGAAGTTCACACCAATGTCAGTGACGCATTGATGGAAAAAGGCGGGACTCAACTTCATCTGTCTTGCATCACTGGACATCCTGCGTAATGCAAAGCTGCAGACTCTTCGCTGGAATTCATTCAGAATAACAAATAATTTATACACACTGGAATTATCCCCTTTTCCAAAAGAATGGTCGTCTTTATATTGTCCCTCTTACTGGAGTGAGTGAGTGAGTTGGGTTTAACGCCGCTTTTAACAGTATTCCAGTTATATCATGGCATGTCAGCTTGATGTGGGAGGAAAGCTCGAAATGATGCAGGTCTCGGACGTTTACCACTTAGGTGAAACCCACGAGCACGGGTATGGTGCTGACAAACCTAGAAACATAATCAGAGCAACCAGGATTCGAACCCACAATCATATGTTTCTGGCGTGCCCAAGGGACGCAACTCTGCACAGCGAATCGCAGCGCCTTAGACAACTGGGCCACCCATGCCCCCTCCTTCTACTGGACAAAGAAAGGGACAAGACAAGTACAAGACTCAGTATTTTTCATATTGTATCCTCTACCAGACACAATAATGTTAATATTGTCTCCCACTTCTAGGCACAGTACTTTTGGTATTGTCCCTTGTACAAGACATTGTATTTTGGGTATTGTCCACTCTAAAAGACACAATCATTTGGATATTGACCCTTTAACAAGACACTGTATTTGGGGTATTGTTCCCTCTACAAGACACAATATTTTTGGTATTTTCCCTAGTACAAGACACAGTATTTTTGGTATTTTCCCTAGTACAAGACACAATATTTTTGGTATTTTCCCTAGTACAAGACACAATATTTTTGGTATTTTCCCTAGTACAAGACACAGTATTTGGGGCACTGTCCCATCTACAAGACAATTTATAGGGGAGTGGGGGGCTGTAAACAATATAATAGCAAATAGTGCAACAAGGCTCTGTAGCTCACCTGCACTTTAAAGAAATATTGTTATGATGCTTCCACCTTATGGTGACATGATCAACAGTGAGTGAGTGAGTATTGTTTTGCTGGCTTTTAGCAACATTCCAGCAATATCACGGCAGGGGATACCAGAAATGGGCTTCACACAATGTACCCATGTCGGGAATTGAACCCGGATCTTCAGCGTGATGAGGGAACACTTTAATCACTAGGCTACCCGACCGCCCCACAATCAACATAATTGGTGCAATTATTTAGAAACTTAGTGCCACTGTACTGTAGCTCAACTATATAAGCACATAATGTCAAAAAAGTCAGACACTTTACAAATGTTGCTGACAGCAATGATAGTCAAATATTTTCAAACATTTGAGGTCTAAAAGCCAAAAATGTCTGGTGAGATGGCCATGTTCAAAACCAGATTTGAATCTCAATTATCATTATTGGTGGCAAGTTTTAGTTTCACCAGCTAATGCATTTTGAGATATTTTAGGAGCATGGTCAAAGTGTAAAGGCAAAATCAACGTCGAAATGCAAACTATCCTGAAAAAGAGAGAACGTGTGTGTTGAGCCCATTGCTAACTATACATACCGTATTCGACGTAATAAGCGCCCCGCTCTAATAAGCGCCCACGACGATATTTGCTAATATATTGGCTAGGGAACAATCCCAATTAGCACCCCTTCCGATTATTCAATGTACACAAGACTTATTTCTTCGTGTAATACGTGTGTTATATGCATCCTTAATTATGGGAAAATAAATTCTGGAAAAACATATATTTACATTTCAGGCTGTCTTGCATAAACCACGAAATTTACGATCTTTCAATTGTTTTTCACCAAAATAATATTCTAATAAGAGCCCCCATTTCTAATTTTGAGAGCGCCCTGGGCGCTTATTATGTCGAGTACAGTACTCCAAATTTCATTAAATTTGAACAGAAATGGCTCAGTAAAAGCCATGAGAAGTTCCAGCTTTCAGTGTTGTTTCATAGACATTTACCGCTTGAAGAAACCCAGGCCTAGAAATATAATCAGGATTGGAACCCACAATCATAGGTTTCTGGCGTGCCCAAGGGATACAACTCTGCACAGCAAATTGTGGCACCTGAGATGACTATTTTGAAAAAATAATACCCATGCTTAAAATTGGATAAGAATTCTGTGAGGAATTTAAAGAGTGGGTAAGTGAGTGAGTGAATGAGTATGCCACTTTAACAATATTCCAGCAATATCATGGAGGACACCAGAAATGGACTTCACACATTGTACCCATGTGGGGAATCAAACCTGGGCTCTTGGCATGATGAGCGAACTTATTAACCACAAGGCTAATCGATTGCCCTCCATTTTTGTAAGAAGGAGATATAAATCGACATGAATCAATCAGAAGTGTTCAAATGGATGAGAACCAGACTCTTCTTCTCCACCCCCCCAACCCCCACCCCCACACACCACCACACCACCACACCCTCCTTCCCCCCTCCTTCCCTCTGGATACTGGAGATAAAGAGATGCTTACCATCACAGGGTGTGTGAATATATGCCTTGTCATCGTAAATGATGTTGGTACCACACTGCACTTTGATATTTCTTCTTGAAGCTATGTTACCTGTTTGAATGAATGAGTGAGTGAGTGAATGAATAAGTGAATGAAGGAAGGAATCAGTGATTAGAGAACAAACTAGAAATGTGCACAATTAGTCAAAGCGATTTCAACGAACGAACGAACGAACGAACGAACGAACGAACGAACGAACGAACGAACGAACGAAATTGAAATGTGTTTTCTTAGGTCTCAAAATAGTGCCATAAACATAAGTTTGAGAGAATTTAAGAGTATGGTGAGTGAGTGAGTATGGTTTTACGCCGCTTTTAGCAATATTCCAGCAATATCACGGTGGGGGACACCAGAAATGGGCTTCACACATTATACCCAAGTCGGGAATCGAACCCGGGTCTTCGGCGTGACGAGCGAACGCTTAAACCACTAGGCTCCCCGACCGCCCCTTAAGAGTATGGTCAAAACAAATGTAGCAAAAAATACATATTGAGCCGCACTAAAATTATTAGTATTGACTACAGATGTACCAAATGTCATTCAAAATTGAACAAAAATGACTGAGTAATGGCCATAAATAGGTTTATCAATATGACTGTCATGGAAACCATATTAGAAATTGAATTTGACCAACATTCGTTGGAACAAGCATTTGAAGTTTCAGCTTCATTAATTGGTCAGTGGTGTCTGAGGAAAAGATGTTTCCAACAGATGACACACAACGGACAACGGACATGCAGGACACGACATAAGTTCACTTGTCTCTCGGTCAGGTGAGCTAAGAATGCATAACATGCTCATTCAGACTGATGACACGACTTCCAGTTTCGAGGAACACATGCTGACAAGCTCAGACCAGAAGGTCCCATGCCGATAGCTACATCAAAAATAGGGTGTACTTCTGGTGAGTGAGTGAGTAAGGTTTTACCCCGCTTTAATTTTTAGAAATATTCATGCAATTTCAGAGTGGAGGAAACCAGAAATGGGCATCACACATTTTTACCCATGTAGGGAATCAAATAGGGGCCTTTGGTATGACAAACGAGCGCTTTGGCCACTATAGGCTACACCAGCGACCAGGGTGCACTTTTGGTTTAACATGTGAAATAACATTGCTTCTGGCTGGGAAAACACACGCCAATGGTCAGTCCCATGTTTCGAACTATTTAAATAACGAAGTTTTATGCAACTATGTTTGGATGACCTTGACTATGTGTCAGTGACCTTGACATTACATGACCTTGACACATGGCAGGTGTTGATGACAGCGTGTGCTTGTATGACCTGGGTGATGACTGACAATGAATTGATATCAATGGTGGTGTTCAACTGTTCAAGCTGCGATGTCAAAATAAAAAATAAAAAAATAAAAAAAACCACCCATATTTGTCTAAGACCAGATTTGTTTGTATGTTTGTTTTGTTTGCTTGTGTGTTGTCTAAAATGCACTCAGCAGTATTCCAGCTGTATAACTAATCGAGTCTGGACCAGATAATCCAATGATTGACATCATAGCATTGATCAATGCAATTGGGATACGATGACATGCATCAACCGAGTCAGTAGGGCTGGAACGATACACCTGATCCCATATGTACCGCGATACTTGCATGTACTTCAGCAAACATTTAAATAAAATTATACACAGCACTTTGTCGCTTATTTTATTTGTTGTCTCCTTAAAATGTAAGGAATGGTTGCACATCAACAAACAACAGAAAACTGAGCTGTGATCACCATATATTTTCACTTCTGATTAGTGTTTGTTTGGTGTAACAGTTATTAAAGCAATCATCTCAGGAAAGAATCAATATTTTTTACTCAGTGAGCGACTGTGGTTGCTACTTGTATCGGGAAATTAAAACAACACGATCCAGCGATGTATTGTCCCACGACTATAAATCAGTGAGTCGGACTAATCCTGCTAGTCCCCTATTCTGAAAAGCATAGTCACATTTAGGGCAAGCATGGAGTTGCTGAAGACATATTCTAAACCAGATCTTCACGGTGTTATAGATATGAAGGCTGGTGGGATCAACTTTAGTGTTGATAAACGAACAAAATTCACCAAAGGCATTCTGTCTTAAAACATATCACAATACAACTCTTGCAATAAAATCAAACAAAGCATGTCTTTGCCACTATTAGGAGAACAATTGTTCGACAAAGGGGTATGTTTTCGCGACTTGACCAAATGCAGCTGGTCATAAACTCCAGCCTCAGGGCAGAGTTTTGGTAGCTGCAGCCTTGTGCAAAACAAAATGGCGACAGGAGGAAGCAACAGTGCTGGTTTGGCTGCGTTGATAGATGCCATCAATGAGGTGAACCAGTTTTTGTTTGATAATATATCAAGACCACAGACTCGAGGATTGGGCTGGGATGACTCCAAATTTAGTACCCGGGTACCCAAACCCCCATTACCCGACCCTACCCAGGTACCCGCTGTAGTCTCAAGAGATGGGTACAAAATGTTGCGAGTTGTTTGAACAGAGCTCTGGCAAAAAGTATAAGACGATCTGATCAAGTTGTTATCGTTATTCAAACATATGTAAGCAGAAGCAATGCATGCATTGTCAGAAAGAAAAGCCAATATTATCGACTTGTAGCATAACAATGGAGCTCGAGATAATTTTTGGCATTAAACAATATATCGCATGACTAACCACAAGGGTTGGGACAAGTCCAAATTTACTACCCCGGTACCCACCCCCCTATTACCCGACCCTACCCGGGTACCCACTGTAGGTCTCAAGAGATAGATATAATATGTCCAATTGGGAATAGTTTGACTGTAGCCCTGGACAAAATATATTTAGATAGATGTATGAATCGATCTGGTCATGCATACACTAAAGTTGACTGAAGTATATGTTTGAATAAAGATACAACTTCAGTCAACTTTAGTGTATCTTTATTCAAACATATTAAAGTCTGGATGCATATAGTCAGAAAGAAATGCGAACATTAGTGACTTGTGGTGTAACCATATAGTTCTAGATCATTTTTGTCATTAAACAATATATCACATGACCAAACACGGGTCCGGGTAGTACTGTGGGTACCAAGGTCCTTATCAGTACCCACCCGACCCGAGTACCCGAGTTACCCGTCCAAGCCCTACTAACCACGGGTCTGGCTAATCATGTGGGTCCCCGGGTATGATCCCAGCGAAACTCAAGGAGGATCTATTCTGTTAACATTTGCCAGTCTTTTTTAAATGCAGCCTGATGCGAACCCTCATCGTGAATACAATGTGGAAAAGATTGCCCCTTGATATTCAACCAATTCAACCTTTTGGATTGGAAGTATTACCGTATTTTCTTGAGTATAGTGCGCACTTTTTTTTCCAAAAAACACAGCTGTGTAGAAGGGGATGCGCATTATACACGAATTATGAGTTTGGATGTTTTTTCCCCATGGAAAGACATTACCTTTAGCACGTAACACCGGAAATACCATGTCAACAAATCCATACTGAATTTCGCAAATTATTCATGTAAATACACTGTCTGGCTATAAAAAGTGTTCTTTGTATATCTGGACTTATGTTTGTAACTTATTTCATTAATTTTATTCAAAATCCCTTTTAATATTGTTTTAATTAATTTCGGCGAAATTGTGTGTGAAGTGATCGGAAGATCGCACAACTCACCGTTATTAACAGCAACCACGGTCAGATTACCGCTATTGACATCTTGAAACAAACTTTAGTTGACAGAGAATGGATACATATATCATAAATGCAATACTTTGATTCGTTAAAAGTCATATTTGTTTTTGTTGGACGATTCTATGTCAACACGTAACTATACTCAAGAAAATACGGTAATGTGTCCTTTGCAAATTATTACTCAGAGTTCAGTATTAAAATGGTAATTGCATATAAAGCTTACCTACTAGTAGTTGAAAACCAAGGCAGTTCACGTGTTGTTGCTGAAATCAACTGCATAACCCTTATGTTCTACTGAAGGGACAGCTCCAATGTCAACCTTCTCTTCTCCCGTTCTTTACTGACTGCAACTTTCAGATAACTTGGAAGAACTCCCAGAACAGCTAAGCCACATTGTCATGTAAAGTTTAGTTGTCAACACAGCATATTCTTCTCTTCAATATTCTGCACATGCTTATCATATTTAGACCTTACAGGTCATCCATGGTACTGTAGCTCACCTGCATATGGAGACAACAGTTTGAAATGTCAGCCTCTTGGGGACCGACCGTTTGATATATAAAATATATATATTGTCCCCGAAAATTCTTGAAAAAATAATCATGTTGGGAAAAAAAGACATTGCCAGCCACAAAAATTACATTGTTGCAAAGTTCTTTGCTCAAAAACAATTCAGGCTCATAGTTTTGAAATAAATACAAAATGTCAGACCCCCCTAGAATATTAAATGGTTGGTTCCTTAAAGGGGAAGTGTACACGCAAAAATCACTTTCTTTCTTTTTCTAAACAAAACGCAATTTTAGAATTAATTAGTATCTGTGTTTGAAAATATACACTCATTTCTTTCACAGTTAACGTAGGAAGCTCACAATAGTGTGAAAATGATATGCCGTTATGAGGCCTTCGTTTTTCGAGCTAAACAGGCCTGAGTTATCCCCCTTAGATTATGACGTAATTGGTGCCAATTCAACTGGGTCCCTGTCTATTCTCAACGCAAAAGATATCAAGTACCAGTTTGCGGTAAAACAACATGGCCTACGACACACTCCGGCGCAGTGGTGACTCAGCATAACACTATGCTGGCTGGCATCTGAGACGCTAGAATCACACACCTGTACCTACACCACGTGAAGCGGCTCTAACAAAGCATGATGACGTCATAATGTTTATCAATTGGCACCAATGACGTCATATTGCAAGGGGCATAAGCCATGGTGTTTTTGTTGTGGAAATAGAACACTTGGTAAATGTGAAAAATATAAATCGTTTTAATGCGAAAAATATGTTGATTAATTGTGATATTTTTATATTTTTGTCTATGACATTTCTAGGTTAACACTTTTAATGTGGAAAAAGTACAAGAAAAATAGGGTCATTTCCG